ACTTTTATTTAATAATTAAGTGTCTAATTTTACGCGAGTTCAAATTCCTTGTGCAAATGATTGATCATGGTAAATAGTGAAGGAATATATATATGATTATTTATAGAGAGAATTAATCCATTACACTAAATACAAAAATTTTGGTGCTAGATTGGCTAATAATTAACAATCATATACATTTAAATGCATACTTATACTACGAAAATATCACACTTTCATTTAAATTATTTTTTAAAATATAACATTTGGACCTAAAATTATACAAATATATAGAAAAAGTGTAATTAATTGTCTAACATTAGACAGCCTGAAAAGTTACTAGAAAGAAATTGCTAGAATTATTACATTCTCTATTTATTTTTTTTATTTTTTTTGTTGTTGCAGGAAAGATGGATCCCTTTGTTGTGATTCAGTACGGAAATCAAAAGTACATTAGCAAGACTGCTCGAGGTAAATCTCTCTCACAGATTCATTGTCTTTAAGTTAATGAAATAATTTTAATTTAATCTGCAGTCAAATTAGTTACAACAAAATGGTAAAATAAGTCATTTTCTCTAAAATAAAAATAAAAATAAAAGTAACAACAAAACAATATATGCATGCAGGACAAGGCAGCAAGCCAGTATGGAATGAGAAGTTCAAATTCAGAGCAGAATATCCCGTTCGAGACCAAAAATATGAGCGCATCCTCCAAATTTCTGACCACGATACATTCACGCACGACGACTATATCGGCCAAACCACGTACAATCACCATATTAATCCACAATTAATCACTTTTATATTCTAAGTAGAAATACATTAATTCAAAATGAAATTAAGGATATAGAGTGCTCATACTAGTAACTTAAATATTATCTCAATTATGATGACCAAATCAATAATTATTTTTCATTGTTAATTCTTCGCGATATATGTTTCTTTTATTAATTATATTCGTTTTTGATATTGCTTATTATTTTATATAAATATATGCAGGATTTATTTGAAGGGAGTTATGGAGGAAGGAGTGGAGAAGGGGAAGGCAGAACTTAGTATTCGCAAATGAGAAATTAATTCTATTTTTGAATGTGTTTTTAGTTTTGGTGATAAGTATTACAATTTAAATTTTGTGCAAACTATATGTAGACAAATCAATTACAATTGTCAGTTTAAGTTATAACCCAGTGTTTTACAATGCTTAACACGAATATCTTCTGTATTAAAGTAAATCATAGCAAAAAATTCACCCATTAACTTTACGACTATAGTAAAATCGATTCACTATTTAGGGTATAGAAAATTTGGTCCATTGTTTTTTTTAAAAAAAAAAAAAAAA